ATTTTATTATTAAATATTAAAAGTCAAATATGTTTAAAGCTTCATTTTGTCACTCATTTGTATTTTGGCAGAGATAGTGTCCACCGTGTAGTCATTGTTGTCCTTCTTGCGGCATTTATTCTGGATGAATTTGAAGAGGGCAAACACAGGGATGGCTAAGCTGGGAACTCCTGCCAGGATGAAGATCATGACGTAGATCCAGGAAGGATACGGACGTGCTTCGAGGGTGGGGAAGTTCTCCTATGGCCAGAATCAAGGAAATGTTACAATTTCTAGCAATGTACACACACAAGTGGTCTGAAATGACAAAGGTTTGTTTTATAACCACAATTAATGAGAAGAAAAATGATTCAATGTGGAATTTCTCAAAGTGGATTTCTCCCAATATCACTAAGAGACCCATTTTAAGACATCACATCTAAAAAGGTTTTACACTGTTGTGTGGAGCACACTTACCGACTCCTGGTCCCAGACCAAATAGGTGAGACTCTTGGAGATTTGGGTTACGAAGTAGAAAATCAAGATGAAGATCATAATGAGTGGACTAACCACCCTCCATGTCACCTGCCAGAAAATATTGGGTTTGTGGCCAATCATAAACTCAATGTCCTCGTTAAACCTGTTTGGAAGCAATAAGAGGGAAATATGTAAGATGTTTGTATGGAAGATATAAAATAAGAAATGGTAATTTTATTAGTTAAAGTAAATAAACCAGCATGTGGGCTGGTGCGTGTTAAAAATGTTTATGAAGATATAAGAATTTAAGGAAATAAAGCTCTCTGTTTCCCTAGTCTACAACCTTACCTTACAACAGGGAATATCTTGCACTTTTATAAAACTTATAAGTAACATTTTTACAGCTTTCATCAATGGCATTATTGAAACACTGAACATTTCTCACCATAACATCACAAGATACATTGTACTTCTTTGTCCTATGATTATTGACACATTACATCTGTTCCAAGGTCAGAAAAAATGCTTCTTTGTTTCCTTATTTGTTTCCAGCAACTGTCTCTGCCTCATGCATGTATGACAATAACAAGACTACTCTACAGGCATGCTAGAGGCTCTGTGAGGTTGTACAGCATTGCTTAAAGCTAAATAATAACGTCACCATGCTAATAGGCTCTCAAAGACAATGCTAACATGTTGATGTTTAGCTAACATTTTTTAGTAAGCACTCAAAGCCGCTATCATGGCTAATAGGTGCCATGCCATTGTTCCAATGGCTCATTATACCAAAACCCCAATAGTCCCAAAAATGTCCCATTGGACCCAAAGTCCATTGATCCAGCCTGTTATTCCAAAAACAAATGCCCATTGCTCCGATAACTCGTATAGGATATAATGGTATTACTTACGAACATGGCTTAACTGACATACCTAATGTACCTATTTGAACCCAAACCATGATCTCTTTGTAAACGGAAGTAAACTGTAACTGTTTCACAATGTTAACCACATGTTTATTATTGTTACTATGATGAAAAAAGGCCGCCTTATTATTGTTGCCATGATGACAAAGGTCCAAATACACGAGATATGAAGGGCAAAAAACTCCAGGGAAGGTGTGTATTTTCGGAAAAATGGGCCTTTGGAGCAGTGGGCTTTTGTTTTTAGGATAAATGAGCTGTCGGCTTAATGGGACAAATTTTGGACTATTGGGGTTTCGGAAAGCAATGGGCAGTCCCCAGCAAAAAAGCCATTACCTTGGATACTCTGCAGTGTACTGATAATCACTTCCGGGATAAACTCACCTATCTATGCCATAGATGTAGATAACAGCAAACATTTCACAGAATCCGATGACCAGAAGGGGGATAGAACCAGCAAAGTTGTCAAAAAGAGCTAGCCAGTAGTTTCCAGAGCGCAGGGAAAATATGAGCCCCAAAGCCAATGATATTAAGCAAGTCAGACCTGGGAAAAAAATACAAAAAAGTGGTTGAGCTCCTATCATATTTTCTACTCCTGATGTGAAAATGTATTTTGTATCTAGTAAGAACGTCTGAAAATTACCACAGAAAACTTCTTTAGGCCAAGTTCGGGGCAACACTCTGAGGTCCTGCAAAGGAACCACCACTCCCTCAATGTTGCCAAACATTGTCGAGAGGCCGAGACAGAAGAGCATGATGAAGAAGAGGACAGCCCAGATAGGAGAAACAGGCATCTTGATAATGGCTTCTGTGAACACGATGAAGGCCAGACCTGTTCCCTCCACGCCCTGAAGGAGTATACACCAAATATTTCAACCACCGTCTTGTCATTGACACTAACTTTAGGTAAATTGTTAACAATAGATAAATTACCAACAGTGGTAAAATATCCAAATGTTATCTATTGACCTCACTGAGGAAAGTCTGCAGGTCACAGGTCTGTAGTTCCAATCCTTGAATGATTTCTGGGTTGGTCTGGGTTGAGGTGTGCTAGAAACTTCGTTTAATTGCTATGCTGTGATGTTGTTTTTCAGGATAGTCGAGGCATTCTCAGCTTCCAGATGTTACTGCAAAAAAAGCACAAGGTCTGGAATATAATACCTGAATCCGCAATTATTATTTTTTAAAGGACGCAGTGTGTAGGATTAAAGTGGTGCCATTTCTAGCAGTGAAGATGGTAAGATTGGAACCAACTAAAAAGTCCTTGACTCCAAACCCAAGTGCAAAGGAGAAACTAGGTAGCTTGAAAACATTAGGGTCCCATAGAACCAGTGTTTGGTTTCGCCTATTTTGGGTTATGTGGAAAGCATGGGGGTATAACATGGTGAACTCATAGCGCAGAAAAGAGGAACCCACTCCCTCATCTAAGACAAAAATGGCTCATGTCAAGGTAATACAACTATGAATTTATACTTCGCATTTCTGCAATAGATCATCAATAGAAATGCTACACACTGGACCCTCAAGGCATCCTTTGTGCATTTTGAAACTCACTTTCCCAGACAGTCGTCAAATTTTTGCGTGGCCCTGAAGCCGATGATAGAGTAGATAACCGTTGCAGAGTACACAGAGGTGCAGCCGTTGATGATGGAGATGAGAACAGCATCCTGCTCACAGTTGTTGCTACAATGAAATTACAAGCATGTCAGGAGAACTGTTCAAAAGGTTCATTGCATGACTGTGCAGTTTAGGACGTTACTTACTGGATAGAGTTGTAACTGGAGAAAGAGATGAGACCTCCAAAAGCCACAGAGAAGGAGTAGAAAACTTGAGCACCTGCATCCAACCAGGTCGATGGATTCATTAATTCATTTACCTAAAAAAGTATAGAAATTAGAATACATGTATGTTAACAGTAAAACTGAGCGGAGATTTTTATGCAGATTACTTCCAGTTGTAATATTTCTGCAAATAAACACTATCTATTCCTGTCTTATCCATTGTTAATAATTAATGTGTGGACATATTGTACACCAGGATAACATATATCATAAAAAGTAATAACTGTGATAAATCAATTAATTTACACACTAAATTGGTTTTAAAGATCTGTTACTCATGATTTCTCAATGTCTCAAATTATCACATCATTAGTGAAAATGTACTGATGTTTTATTCATTTGTTTTCAAATGTGAATTTGCAAAAGTTCAATACAAATGAACCCTTATAAAATGCTAAGATAAGCTAACCACCTGCTGGCTTTAGCGTTGTATTTAATGGGCAGATATGAGATTGATAGATCTTCCCATCTAACTTTTGGTGTACTTCCAAAATGGAAAAATGATATTATATTGACACATGTTGGTTGATGTGTTACACCATTGCTTACATCTGGTGTGAATAGGAACTTAATTCCATCTATTGATCCCTTCAGAGTCAGTCCTCTGACGAGAAAGATGGTGAGGACCAGATACGGTAGAGTGGAG